GAGGATCCAGATCTTTGTCAAGACAAAGTCATGGGTAATAGCAACAGCAGACATATTTAAAGGTCCTGGGAGCTCTCTGTGCTTATGAGTGCAGACCTAGCATGACACACATTAGCTGCATTTCCTTCTCCCTTCCTCTCTCCCATCCCCTCCCTTCCCTTTCCTTTCTTCAGTCTCTCTCTGTCTCTCTGTCTCTCTCTGTTTCTTTCTCTCTGTGTGTCTCTGTCTTTCTCTGTACTCTCTGTCTCTCTGTCTCTCTCTCACCACTCCCCACAATTCCCTTTAATGACTTCTCTTTTGTGAGAACCACCACGATGGACCTATACTGCACACAGGGTAAATTCTTTCCCCTGAGCACCATAGGGGCCAATGCATAGTTGAAGAGCACACCAATCAGGGTAAGAATCTTTCCCTTGACCCTATTTTCATTCATATCTTCATTCTAAGATACAGATAGGTCTGGGCCAAGACACAAGACCCATTAAGAAAAGATCTAACTGTTTAATTTTGTCTCTATTAGCTATGTAATTATAGAGACTTCTACGTGAGGGTGGTAAGATCTATAAGAAAGGATTGGAAAGACTCAACAAATGCAGCACAATGCAGCACCATCCAAAGTGCAAGCTAGCTATCACACAGCAGAGCCGGAGCAAGCAAAAACACTTTGGATGCTGGTGGTCCTTGTCTCTGTACCCCACTCACCACAACAAGTGCAGTGAATGCTCTGCAGGAATAGGATGAGCTCTCACCCCAAATATGGCTTGGACATTGAGGCTGAAAATGTTACACATTGAAAAGGGTATAAAACGTTTTATTCCTCATATGAATATCTCCCTTTGTGGAGGAAGCTTAGCAGCCCATCTAAGGTGGTCTGCAATGACATGAGAGGTCAAAGAAAGTGACTTTTTAAAAAATTGTGGTTAGGTTGTGGGTTTAGAATGGGTTTAGAGAGTTCTTGCATATGCGAAGTTTGAACCTCTCATTGTTGCCAAATGAGGAAGAAGCCAGCCTTTTTAAAAATTGAGATATATTTGACACACAACATTATATTTCTTTCAGCTGTACAATATAATGATTTAGTATTTGTATATACTGCAAAATGATCATCACAAGCCTAGTTAAGATCTGTCACTATACATAGTTTCAAATTTTTTATCATAATAAGAACTTTTAAGATCTACTCTCTTAGTAACTTTCAAATATGATATATAATATTATTAATTATAGTCACCATGCTTTATATTACACCCTCATGATATTTTTATTTTATAACTGGAGAACCCCGGCTTTCTTATCAGGTAGTTCAGATATTGGGCACAAGAGGAAGAGGAGAAAGAGTGGTTTAAAAATTGGTTAGCCAAATATCATACACACACATGAAAATGGAATCAGACACTTTATTACATAGCTCTTTTATATGTTTATAAGTAGTCCAAATCAAAGGAATTAATTGCACTGCATTTGGATAAAATAAAATACATTTAAATGCTTATTAGTGTCCTTTAATTAAAGAAACTAATAAAGAACTTTTTTTTTCTAAAGGGAGAAGAATATTTCTCATTTCTTTGCTTTCTTTAACAGGAGGGGACTGAGAGGTTACACTGTTTATGGATTTTTAGATCTCTAAATAACTTTACTCCTCGAATTTTTCTAGTTCATTCTTTCCAAAGGGATGCATGTAGTAACAGGTTAATGGAGCAAATCCAATGTGAAAAAGGTTCTCAGAGGAATGTTTGTCATATCTGAGAAATACTACTGAAGGAGTATGGTCTTCGAGTGTGAATACTTTATTTATGAATTGCTTAAACTCAAAATATTGACTCACTGATGGATACTTGTATACTTGTTCCCTTTACAACAATCCTCCTTTATTTTCCAAAAGGTGTCTGTGCTCTGTGGAACCACAGAACATAACAGGTGTCTTGAAATTTCTCCTCCTGGGACTCTCAGATGATCCAGAACTGCAGCCTCTAATTTTTGGCCTCTTCCTGTCCATGTACCTGGTCACCATGCTGGGGAATCTGCTCATCATCCTGGCTGTCAGCTCTGACTCCCACCTCCACACCCCCATGTACCTCTTCCTCTCCATCCTGTCCATGGCTGATATTGGTTTTACTTCTACAACCATCCCCAAGATGATTTTGGACATCCAAACTCACAACAGAGTCATCTCCTATGCCGGCTGCCTGATTCAATTGTCTTTTTATTCTTTCTTTGGATGTCTGGACAGTACACTCCTCACTGTGATGGCCTATGACCGGTTTGTAGCCATTTGTTACACTCTGCACTACCTGGTCATCATGAACCCCCGTCTCTGCAGCCTGCTGGTTCTAGTGTCCTTTTTGATCAGTCTTTTGGACACTCAGTTGCACTGCTTGTTGATGTCACAACTTTCTTTTTGCACAAATGTGGAAATTCCTCATTTTTTCTGTGACCCTGCTCAACTCCTCAAGCTGGCCTGTAATGATACCTCCACCAGTGAAATAGTAATCTATATTATTGGTGTCATCTCTGGTGGAGTTCCACTCTCAGGGATCATTTTCTCTTGTTATAAAATTGTTTCCTCCATTCTGAGAGTCCCATCATCAAGTGGGAAGTATAAAGCCTTCGTTACCTGTGGTTCTCATCTGTTAGTTGTTTGCTTATTTTATGGAACAGGCCTTGGGGTGTACCTTAGTTCGACCATTTCACATTCTCCCAAGAAAGGTGCAGTGGCCTCAGTGGTGTATACAATGGTCACCCCCATGCTGAACCCCTTCATCTACAGTCTGAGGAACAGGGACATCAAGAGAGCCTTGCAGAGGCTCCTCAACAGAACAACATAGTTTCAATACTCCCTCCCCCAACCCCCATTTTTTGGTCTATGGATTAGAAATTACAAAAAAACCAAACAT